GAGCAAGGACGCCACTAGGAGCAAAGGGCATCGCTACTAGGTGCAAGAATGCAAGAATCCCGACTGACTGCCGAACGCCACCTGGTCTGCGCCAGGACCTTCGAACGCCTCTGGGTGTGTCCTTTGCGAGGCCCATGCGAAGCTGCGATCGGATCAAGCGGACGCTGTTTCTTTTTCCCGGTTGCTGTCAAAGCCCCAGAATTTCCTCCTTACAATTTACTGCATATTTATATTTAGATATGTGCCTACAGCACACATCATATATCATATTTCAGTTAAGAGAGAAACTTTATCCAATCCCAAAAGCCTCCATCAAGCTTCACAGGTGTATCAAGCCGGGCGTCGATACGGTGGGCCACAGCTTCTTCAAGATGATCGGTGCAGCTGCGGGTGATGAGTATTGCCAGGAGCTCTGGCGCTGGACATGACAGGGTCAGTGAAGGTTCTGAATGCTGCCTCCAAACCTTGTGTCCAAGCACGGTGGCTTCCGTAGGTCTGTTTCAAGGGCGCTACTAGGAACAAAGGGCATCGCTTCTAGTAACAAGTGCCTTACTAGTAGTAACAAAAAGCTATTTTAAACAAGAAGCTACTAGTAACAAGTGCATCGCTACAAGTAGTTCCCGGGCGAGCCGGCGGCGGAAGTTTCCTATAAGAAGAAATTGACCTATAGGAGTGTCCACGTTCTCTCCACCATGCGTGTCCCTCGTGCCCCTCACTGAGCCAAACGCATGTGCTCCGGACTTTTGACACACACACACACACACAGCGCCACCTGTGCAAGGTCTGTGCTCCCTGCAGGATCAGCAGCTCACAACAGCGCACTGGGTTGTGTCTATGCCAAAGCAAGATCACCAGCCCACACCGGCGTGCTGAAGCAACTGGGCATCTGCAAGCGAAAGTTAAGTATGACGAGTGGTGTGTGATGAGTGGTGTATGATGAGTAGTGTATGATGAGTGGTGTGTGATGAGTGTTGTGTGATGAGTGGTGTATGATGAGTGGTGGTTGAACAGCTGTTGCATGTCCGTAACACGGAAGTTTTGCACACTAAACTTCCTTTGACTAGGAGCAAGGGCCTTACTAGTAGTAACAAGAAACTATTAGAAACAAGAGCACAGGGAAGTGGCTCTTGGTCCAAGCACGGTGGCTTCCGTAGGTCTGTTTCTCCTTTTTTAAATCGCATTTTGCCCGTAGGGTGGATTCGGTCGGAATGGTCGGAACTGGCCTCAAGGGTTGAAGATTTTGCTCCAAGCACGGTGGAGAGGCATAACTGGCGCATCATACTGCACATAAACAACGCTGTATGCGAAGACCCAAGCGATGGGAATGTTCTTTTCGACACCCCAGGCACCGAGAAAGAACCGAAGGGAAACACACATACAAGGAAGTGCTCTTGTCAGAGTAGCAAGGGGTAGTGACTGAGTAGTGAAGTGATTGAAGTGCAAGACCCAATTGTCGACCTTGCGATTCTCTTTTTTTGTTTCTGTTTCCGTTTTCTTCCTTTAAACCTTCAGACCTTTTCTTTCGCTTCTTTTTCTTTCTCCATTCAACAAGTCTTTCTTCCTTGGTGCGAAGTGCTGCCCGCTCCGAGGCTATGATGTGTTCGCAAAATTGTTCGACCCAATCATCGCGAGGCGCGTCAAGTGTGGGCAGTGTCACTGTGTAAGTGTGGGCCCAAGAGCTTCTCCTGCTTCCTTTACATGAAGGACTATGGTTTGAAAGAAGCCTTGGGTAAAATGGGTTGACTTAACTACTGCTTCCTCTACTATACACAACACCGCTTGGTGGGTCACCTATATCACAACACCGCTATGGAATCTCCCCGAAGGAAGATGAGACCTGCAGATCCCAAAATCGGGACACCCTCTCCGACCAGATCCCATCGAGTGAATCTCTGGCTTCTATGTTCTGAAGCAAAGAACCGGACATGCTCCCCAGGAGCCCCTAATAGCTTCTTAGTTCCTAGTAGCGTCCTTGCTCCTAGTAGCGATGCCAGGAGCCCCTAGTAGCTTCTTGTTGTTTCTCATTGTTTCTAAAGATATGCTTTGTAGTTTTGGATGTGTAAGGTGACCCGCCTGTGGAGCCACAAAGCATCCACCTGAGGCGTCAGGTGAGGAGCCAAGTGGTGTCCGGCTCTCCGGCGCCGGCCGTGGTCAGCGTGCAGGTGCGGTGTGTGAGGGGTGGAATTTTCAGCGAAGTCTTTGGTCTCCACCAGATGGAAAGTAGCGATGGCCTCCAACCTAGAAAGAAAGGAACGCCGACAATGGACCTTTTTCCCTGTCGGATTGCAATTCGTTTGATCACCTGGCCAAATGTCTCAGCTGTGAAGCACGTGCTGTTGAGGTGTCCTTCGAGCGGAACATTTCTCAGCTGCGCTTTACCCCGGCAATGACCTTGGAGGAGCGACTGCAGGTGGAGACCGACCCGTGGAAAGCGAGTGGAGAGGGGTTTTCAACGAAAAACGAAACCAGATGCACTCCAATGCGCTCAGGGACAGGAAGGGTCATGGGTTGGAGGCCATCGCTAGTAGGTTGGAAGCAGTGCTCAAAGGAACAGGAAGGTCATGTCCAAGATGCCGTTTTCTCCCTCAGGGTGGAGCAGGTGGGGGACCGTCAGGTGGAGCAGCTCCTGTGTGGTGCCCTGCAATCGCTTCCGGAGCATCTGGCAGGGGAGTAGCTTGGAATCGATGTGGTTTGTATTCCGAGGGCGTCGTTGGTCGGTTTTGACCTTGAAAAGAGAGGCGCATTCGACACTTTGATGTTAAACACCTCCACTTGGTGATTGCAGGACATGGGAGAAGTGTTGCAAATTAGAAGTTCTTTCAGGTGAGTTGGTGTGAGCTGAGATTGTTTTCTCGCACCTTCTGCAAGCCGCGCACACCAGGCCTTCTTCGACACTAGGAACAAGTGCCTTACTAGTAGTAACAAGAAGCTACGAGGAACAAGTGCCTTACTAGTAGCAACAAGAAGCTACGAGGAACAAGTGCCTTACTAGTAGTAACAAGAAGCTACTAGGAACAAGTGC